AATCATATCGGAACACACACAATATTTGCCCTCAGGCGTAATAATAATACAATATGATTACAATAACGTACCAATAAATCACCTAATAATAAACACCCGAAGACCCATAATCATGAATGAAAAAATATCAAAAAATGAATTACCAACATGAGAACGAGCCTGAAAATTGTAAACTCAATTTTTTTTACCGTTATAATGATCACAATAAACAAGAAATTAAAAGTTACTCTTGTTCAGTTGATTAATTGATTGCATGAGATTGTAAAAGTTTGATAATTTTATTTGATTACCTTTATGGTACTGATTGTATGTGTATGATAAATTGTCTGTAGCGTGATTAAATTAATTAATTGTTTTCTTTCATTTGATTAACAAGAAAAGAGTAATTTTTTTGTTAAATTTAATTCCCTTGTGAGATTTTGTAAGATTGATGATCAGGTGAATCTTTAATTTTTGTACAATTGCTTATGATTAATCAATTTGGACAATTAATCAATTACCTTAATATGTATTCTTCAATCATTATTTAATTGTTATCATTAAGTTAACCATTGGGTTATCATATTATTGGTCAGAATCAAATCACCATATTGATTAAGCTGATTAAATATCATTGATTTTTTCAAACCTGAGCGGGTTTTGGGTGAGATAAAAAAATGTTTCTATTCAATTGATATTATATTGTGATGATGAAGATAAATTGTAACACAATAAAGATAAAGTTGTTTTTATATTTATCATCATTATCATCCAACTATCATCATGTTGACCGTTATCATTACAAGATGATGATAAAAGAAGATGTTGATCATCACTTTTTTGCTCGTTGGTATCAGATATTGAGCTCTAAATGGTTAACATTTGATGTTATGATTTGGTGATGATAAAAATGATGATCAGAGTGGGAAAAGAGAGAGAGAAAGAGATATTTATATGGGGTGGGAGGGATAGAAGGAGGTATAAAAAATGAAGGGAGAAGAGGATGAGGATGAAGATGATAAAGGAAAGAGGGATAATAGAGAGATGTAATCAATCTTACTTGAAATGACCTTAACCAACAGTCTCTCTCTCTATTCCTCTCATTTCTTTCTCATCTTCATCTCTTTTTGTCTGCTGTTGAAGGTAGACAGAAATGAAAGATAAAAGAAAGAGACGAGGAAGAGGAAGATGGATGAAAAGTGGGAGAGGAAGAGTGAGCATTAAAATATCTATCAAAATATCTTATCCACAAGATATATCACTTAATACATCATCAATTTAGGTCTTGAGACTTGTCTCAGTGGCTTTATCCATCATTTGACCCTTGACCTTGCAGACATGGAAAGAGAGAGAGAGAGAGAGAGAGAGAGAAATGATAAACCTTTAAGTCTTTTTCGAATTTTTCATCTTTATCATCTTATTATCGAGAAAATATTATTATTAATAACTTGCAATTTAAATACGCAGATCGAAATCTTTGCAATTCTAGTGGAATCAATTTCGACACAATTAACAAATTGTATTATGATGAATCTTGTTGAGTTACAAACTCTTTGTCTTTCTCTGATTGTATAATCAATTGTAGCAATTTAAATATCATTTATTTCCCCGTTAACTTTTTCTCTACCATTAAATCATAATTAGAGTTAAATTGCTTCTTGTTTGTACTTTGATTTTTTTGCCTTTTCCCTGAGATCCTTGTTTTTTTCATGGTTCTGCCATCACTTGACTTAACTGCACTTTATTTGTTAAAGATGATGAGGATAAAGATGATGAAGAAGACGAGAGAAAAAAATTTCTTCCTCCCTTTAAAAGTCAAGATGATTGGATGATGAAGTTGAAGGATGATCTGGTGAAAGAGATGAGGATGAAAAACTTTTGATTCAGAATAATGGTAACATTGGATAGGAATCATTGACTGTAGAGAGAAAGAAAGAAAGAAAGAGAGAGAAAATCATCGAGATGAAAAGATGAGGATGGAAAAGAATCTGAAGAAAATTTTCGAGAAGAGTAAGAAACTCTGTCGGGTAATGAAACTCTCGGTGTTTTGATTTTCCACCAGAATTTGTTTAACATTTTCATGTTTTGTCTTCTGTCTCTTTCTTAATCTTCCATAATCTTCCTCTTTCTCCTGGTTTAATCCTCATCATCGTCTTTGCATCTTCCGCCTTAAGCTCATGACTTCAATGTACTAATAATATTGTTTATCTTCGTAAACTCTTTGGTCTTTTTTCACTCGCCTTTTGCTATTTATTTCCTTATCTTCCACTTTATCATCTTTCATCCTTCTATATATTTGTATGTGAGAGAGAAAAAGACAGAAAAAAATATTCTGGTTTCATCTCTCTCTCTCTCTCTCTCTCTCTCTCTCTCTCTCTCTCTCTCTCTCTCTCTCTCTCTCTCTCTCTCTCTCTCTCTCTCTCTCTCTCTCTCTCTCTCTCTCTCATCCTCATCTTCATCCTCTGATCACTATCATCTTGTGGCTCTCTCTCCACTATTGTACTGCTATGTATTATCCTCTTTATCCTCCTACTCTTCATCCTTATCTTCATCCTTCCTCAATTTTAACCAATGTTAGATTTTCACTGTAACCTCAACTTTTAGATGAAATCTTTTATCAAACTTTGTTATTTTATCATTTACAATAATTTCTCTCTCATCTTATCCTATCCACCTCAGACTCCCACCTAACCATCATCATTCTATCATCATTATCAACATCATTTATTCAAAAACTTATAAGATCTTTCATCGTTTAAAAACAACCGATAAATTTGATTGTCGGTAAAACAAAATTAAATGATTTGCTTAGATTCATATTAACCTAACCAAAATTACCAGTAAAAGTCTGGATAAAACTTTAAGAAACTCCAAAGAAATCAACAAAACCAATAAATAATTAGCAGATACACGTTCTGATGGAATTGAATAACTAGAACTCTAACTCTTCTTATTGCTGAAGAATTTACCTGACAGGTTCGTGTTCAATTTAAGTGGTACTGAGAAAATAACGTTCGTGGTTCAAATTGTTCGTATTCGACCTTTGATCAACTGGCTCCATCTTGAAGTTTAATAAGAAACTTGATTCATTTATTTTCTTTCTCGGCAGATGGAGACACAAACACACGACAAGAAACGAAACGAAAATATTTCCAACGATTTATTATTAAAATTAATCGAAACAATTTAACAGACTAAATTCTATTTCAACACAATAGTCAAAATCATTTTTTTCTCATAGTTAAAACTTATAAAGACCATAAGAAGCATCGCTCGAGAAAATTGTATCAAATCACTTTTTCTGTGAATTCTTTAGATTAAAAAGATCAAAAGTTCAAGAAAATCTATCAAAATAACTCGATGATTTCGATCAATTTCTACTTATCGAATTACCTGAAATGATTTCCAAGGTGTTTTTATATCCAATTAGATGCTCAGAGTTTTGAGAACTGATTGTAGTTCAGTTTCATTTTTATTCTGTTCAACAGAAAACAAAAATCAGCATATCATCTTCTTTTTTGTTCTTCTCTGTGTTGAATTTTCTTCGCGACAATTTAGTTGATTTAAGTGATTTTCTCTCTCACTTGTTGATTTCCTGCGATTCTCTTAAATTGTTCCAGTTTCCAAATTGATTTCGTTCTCTCCTCGTGATAATCAAACGTTTCATCTCAATTTAACATATCAACAATTTCTGGTTAATTTGATAAACAACATTAACCTTATCATCAGACTGATTAAATTGTCCAACTACTTTTTTTATATTAACTTGACTTGAGACTTAATGATAAAACTAAATATTAATGATGTTCCAAGTGACATATTTAGACTTTAAATTTGTGGCCCTACAAATACACAAAGTCTCAACTCTTAACTAAAAAGTTCAATTTTTTGCAGAGTTTCCTTTAGAAATTAAGTTTAGATACTAATAGTTGACTTTTCCACCAGCAGATGGAGCATTAGGAGCCATTGCGAGCAACGATTAAGTTGAACATTTTAATTGACAAAAGTTAAATCTAAATGAGAATTTGCAATCAATTAATAAAAAAAGAACAGTATAAAGTAGAAGAGTTGAAGCAGGTAATCCTTAATATGAAGGGATATTTTTATTTCTTTACACTTAAAGGCAACAATCAGTAAATTGATATGTTTAGATATGAAAACAATTAAAACTCGTAACTAAAACAATAGAAACTAATAAAAAATGATTACAAAAAAAAGTAAATCAAAAGGAAATCAGAAAATTAATCTTTGTGAATAACAATTAAATAAAGTGTTCTAATCATTTCCAATTAATTAAACTCGATAATTAGTCAATTGAGAAAGAATCAATTGTCAACCAATCAATTACTTCATTCATCCCTCTTTTCCTCTTTTCTCTTTCTTTTCTTTCTTTTCCACCACCAAACTTGTTCCCTCCACAAGCCAAGGGACCAACTCGATTCTCCGCCTCCTTCGGGCTCATAAACGAATCACATGTTGGACTGATGAAGAAAGAGGAGGCTGCGCTTTCTATTAACCTTGTCTTCTCTCTCTCTCTCTCTCTCTCTCTCTCTCTCTCTCTCTCTCTCAATCTATTCAGTAGATTTATCATCATTTTCATCATCATTAACGATCTCACAGCCTTTTCTTATTAGTAACAAGAATACAATCTAATGTATAAGTTTATCATTGAAATGGTAATTTAATGTTAACCATTTTTTTATCAGCAACAATCAACATCAACAATTTAACAATCAACTCAAATCCAAACATTCAATAGTTTACAACAACAATTTAGTTTTAATGATTTTAAGTGTGTATGTGTCTGTTGATCATTATACATAATTTTTGATTGTTTTCTCAAATGTTAAATTGTTGTTGATTAAAAAAAAAATTACTTCTCTCTCTCTCTCTCTAATTATCAACAAAACAAAATTAAAAATCAAAACTCACACAACGAAACATCCAAAAATCATCGTTGATATTCAATAAAATCTACAATTAAGATAATTAATTAATTCTGATTCGAGAAAATCTTTTCAAATGGTCAAGTCAATTACGATGACCAATATTAACGATGTTAATGGTGAAAGTGATTCAGTGAAAAGTTATTATGATTATCAATGTGATTATCCATCAACCAATACAACCACAACAACGACAACAACGGTTACAACACCTCCACCTCCTTCATCAGTTGTACCATCAACACAACAACAACAACAACAACCACCAACTGCACCTTCAGCACCAACATCATCATCATCATCACCAATTTATGGTTCAACAATAACAACAACAACACCAAATGTAACAAACAGTACAAATGATGTTGTAATTACCAATGGCGGAGGTGGGGGTGGAAATCATCATCATTATCATGATGAAAGTTACCTGGAAACATCAACCGGAAGCTACAGATTTGATTTAAAACCAACGGAAGGTGTGGAGGGTCAACACATTCCGAGCGATAATTGTAACACAATTTACAATCAGCATCACCATTTAAATCATCATCTAAATCATCAGCAGCAACCATTATTATTACATCAACATCATCATCTTCAACAGCAACAACAAGAACATCATATGTCACATCTTCAACATAATCAACATCAACATCAACACCAACAATCTGTTCACCATCAACTTCACCCTCATCAACAACAACCCCAACCACAGCACCAACATTACCTTCCTCCTCAACATTTACAAGCCCAACAGCAGCAACAACAACAACAACAACAATCACCAACACACATCACCTTTACATCCTCATCATCCTCATCAACAATATTATGAGACTCAAAGTGTCACCGGTGTCGGTGGTGGTGGAGGTGGTGGATTACCAATTGATACTAATGTTGTCGGTTCTCTTGTTGTTGGTCAACATGTCGTACCCTCAATGACCCCACCAGGAGTAACTACTCTTCACCATTTAACACCTTCTGGTCTTCTAACTCATCATCCATCGCCTCATTCTCATCTTTCACCATCGATTCCTGTTCATCATCCCAGTGTCTCTTCATCATCTTCACCCGCCTTCTCAATGAGACGAACCCCTCACCAACAACAGCTAATCAACAACAACAACAAAAACTACCAATTCTCAATTACATGATATTAAACCAGTGATTAATGATCCACCTTCACCCTCGGGCTGTGCAATCTCAGGTAAGACAATTGACCCAAGACAATCACCTAAACAACAAGTAGATTAAAGTATCTGTAGCTCAATTCCAGGCTGATTTGATTCATCGTTAGAAAACAAGAGTAAAAATTAGACAATCAGCTGAAAGAGCAGAAAAGAAATGATTAAAATGATGATTAACAATTTCCATTAAATTGGTGCTCAATTGGCCGATTCAATAGATTTATACATATAAATGAATATGAATTACAATATCACCAGTAGCTTAACAGTAGTAACAACATATTATAATATTAGTAATTGTAGTAGTTGAATTGATTGTAAACAAGTAAATTGTAATTGTTAATCACAATAATGATAATATATTACAAGATTATTAAAGTAAAACTTGAATGTAAATGGTTGAATTTGAGTAATGATATTTTTCCTCCTCTTAACGATTTCAAATGTCAATACCTGTTGACGGGAAGGTTACAATTAATGGATTTTAGGCTCATTCACAAACCCACCCACCATCACCATCACCATTTACCTTATCCACCTCCTCCTCCTCCTCCTCCTCTACACACTCATAGTAATATCACTTAACCTCCAGTTGAAAAGGCAAATACAAAATCTCATTGATAGAAAAAAAAAGTTACAACTTTTAAGTTTCTCTCTCTCTCTCTAATTTACCTTTTGTAGAAATGACCAACTGAAAACCTCTGGGATATTTTCAGTTATTAATGGTCAATGTTATTTGTTATTGTAAGCAAGAAAAACCATTAGGCCATAAGGTAATCATTAACAACAACAAAACTAACAAATGATTTTATACTAATCATAAAAAAAGTTGTTTATTGTTATTTAGTGTTACCTGTTTTCAACTTGTTTATATTTCTTACCTGTAATAGTACATAAATCTTAGTCTTTTACCTGTTGATGGAAAAAGTTTCTTTTCCTTCCTAATGAAATAAGATATTAATAAGAAAAGTTTATTTTTCTTTAGTTTATTTCAATTGATGATAAACCAAGAGAGAGAGAGAGAGAGAGGAAAAGACAACAGGTAATTTGCTTTAAGAGAAAATAATAACTTCTAATTCATCTGAACAGGTAATAGTTTCTGGTATCTTGTTGTTTTACAACTTTCGCAATAGTTTACCTGTAATTTGCAATATCTTTTTGATTACCTGTTGGGTCTGGTGTTTGTTTTGTTTATTTAATTGTAATCAAATGTGATTACCATTTAATATCTGCTTTTCATTTTCCGATTCAATCAAATGAGAAATGTTTTAATTAGTAATAAAACTATTATGATAACATTAACTGACCTTTTCCTTGATCTTTACTCTTTGATTGGAAAAGTTTCTGAGATTGAATTTATCTGTAAACAACCATTAGTTATATGGTAAAAAGTTATCGTTTCGGTTTAATTGCTAAAGTAATTAATTTATTTGTTTTTAAAAGTTTCTCTTTCGGTAGATATGACTGATTCAAGTGCATCAGCAAATTCAGCAGCGACAACAGCCTTCGATGTAAATTATGGTAACGGATTTAATGGATCGCCTTATATTAACCATTTACCAACTCACTTTCACCATCCTCATCATCATCAAGTCCACCGTCCACATCATCATCATCATCCACATCAACATTTTCATCACCATCCGTACCATCCTTCAAGCCGTACCAATTTTAACACTCGTAGTCCCGTCAGTCAACATGTACATACATACCCATGGATGAATGTTAAACGGAATGTACCCAAAATAAGTAAGATTTTATCATTATCATCATCATCCTTATCCTCATCTTCATCTTTATCCTCATCACCTGATTTTTTTCCTTTGTTTTTGATTTCTTTTAATCTTCTTTCAACGAATCAGTTGAAATCGTCATTACCTAATGATTGTCATCATAATCAATAATAGTACATATCTTGTCATCATCATTGCAATTCAGGGAGGAAGAAAAAACTTTGCACAGTTAATTGTTTGTAATTTACAAGGAAATTAATTTGTTTTTTTTATTCATTTTTTTCTGTTTGATTTCAACAAACATGAGATATTTTCATGATGATTGTTGATTGTTGTAAATCCTGTTGTTGAAGAAGCAGAAAAGGTTCACCCTTTTTTTTTGATTATTTTGAGATAAATTGTCAACACAATTGATAATAATCGTTTGAGAAAAAGTCATTTGTTGAATTGGTGAAACCATTGTAATCATTATTAACTGAGCCACATGTTGAATATCCAATATGTAAAACTCAAACTCTAAAATAATATTTTTACTATAAGCTACTAATTGTTGTTGATTATGATGAAATGAAATGTTCATGAAGATTCTGAAGGATATAATGTTGTCGATGATGGTATTGATGATAAATTTGTAACAAATGGAGACTCAAATGATGTGGTTATACCCTTACAATTAGGAATGAGCCGTATCTCACCTCCTTCCCCAACACCGTCAACCCCACCACCACTCTCTGTGCTTGATATGTTGACTTCGTCTCCCTCATCATTATCTCCATCTCCGTCTTCATCTTCATCATTATCTTTATCTTTATCTTTATCCTTAATCATCTTATTTGTTTTTACTATTTTTCTCCTTTGTTTTTGGTTTACTTCTCATTCATTTCACTCTGAATCTCTCTTTCTCTCTCTCCCTCCTCTCTCTCTCTCCTTCTTATATTTTTCAATCTTCTTTTTCATATCATCATCCTAACTAATATACAGGCAACATAATTAATCATCATGTTGTTGTTGGTTGATCCGGATGAAGAGGATGAGTGATTTCGGTAAAGTAATCCAACCAAACAAGAGCTCAATCTTTTGGGTATTGAAACGCATTTTTGAACAATACTCGACTTTAACTGTTCGCAGTCTCTTTTCTCAAACAGTACTAATTATTATTATTCTTGTACAATAATAATAATAGTAAAAGTTTTCTGACTTTTCATATCTGCTTGACCTTTTCCTTTACTGATCTGGTTCGTAGTTTAGGACATTTAAAGTATTAACGTTTGTTACAAACGTTACAAATAAAGATCATTAATTTTACTTTTCCTGTCACAATCAGCATCTTTCCTCATCCTGATGATCTTTCCCTCTCTCATATTTTTCTGTTTCTTTCTTTATCTTCATCTTTCTCTCAATTGCAATTTCGATGCAAATTGAAATATAATAACATTTTTTCCTTCATTTTTTTCTGTTTGTTGTTCAAAACTTTAAACTATTCGATTGACTCTCTCTCTCACACACATCTCTCATCTTTATCATCATCATCTTCAGTAACCTTTTTCATCTTTTCTTCTTCTTCATCATCATCAAGTATCATTCTGGTTATCATGTTTTCCCTTATCTCTCTCGGGTGACTTTCTACTTTTGATAATTCCGTTGATAATCGTTTGTCATCTTTGCCTAATCATAACCATTCTCTCTCACTTTCCCTCTCTCCCTCATGCTCTCCGTTCTGTCCAGTTAAAGCGAGAGAGCGAAAAAAAGCAAAAGTGACCTTAAATGTCGTTTTAAACTTGACCTCTCTCTCTCATTATATTTTCATCATTATCACCTTAGAAAAAAAAGAAAACGGCAAAAAAGAAGCAAAGAAAATTTTTCTTTTCTCCCAAGAGGAAGATTAAAGGTAAACTTTATCCCTCAGATTTACAGGTAAATGTATCAACATTTGACCGTAAAAAGGGATTAGAGTTGCAAAAACTTGAAAGATTAACCAGTGAAAAGACAACAATTGTAGTAACAATTAAGGATAATCATCACTATCGGAAAAGTTGAAAACTTGGGTTATGAAAAAACAGAAAGAATCTAATAAAATTAGGTCACTTCATACACACATAGAATACATTAGAAAACCCCTTGAATCCATTTAGATTATCAACTAATCCTCTGGGTAAATGAATAAACTCAAATTCAATCTCTTTAATGACTCGAATTGATGTAAAATTAAATTCGGCGAGATTCAGATTAATGAATATCCTGAATGTTATACTTTGTATTATTTTCGTTTGAAACTTTTATCCATTGTTAATCCCATTAACCCTGTATTATTTATCTCCATCCATTGTTATCCAAATGTTGATAATAGAGTGAGAGAAAAAAATTTAACACTGAATTTGTTATCATCATGATGATTATCTGATTCAGTTTCTTTATTCAAATCATGTTCATGGTTTGATATTCATGATTCAAAAGCATAGGAAATGTTATTCATCTTGACAACAACAATAAACTTTTTTTCCGTCTATATAAATACATAGAGTTACTCAATTTGTATCATCAATAAGATGATGACAATGATGATGATAAAGATGAGAAGATGATGAGGAAATAAAATGTATTACAAATTTGTGTTTACAATGAAATTTTGTATCAATATGATTGGTGATTTAAAAAACTGATCATGTTGTCATTTAAATTTATTACAGTTAATCAACAATCAATGACCTATATATAATATATAGATAATTAATAATGGTAAGATGAGCGTTAATGGTTGGAGGTGGAGCTAATAGCTATCCAACACAATTATCCCTGTGTTTGTTTAAATTAGGTTAGGTTAGGTCTTCATTAAAAGGGTCAAAATCGACAGAAGGCCGGAGGACAATCAAACGGGCGCACAATCAACCCAAAATTCAGCTTAATTTCAACAGTTTGAACTAATTGACACCATCGATAAGTGTGTTGAATAACCACTGGCTCCACCTCCAACCATTATCGCTCATCTTACCTTAATAATATCTGATGATTGGAAACTATTGAATTAATATGATTTTCATGATGAGAGAAACGGATTAAGATTGAAATTTGATAATCTTTATATTTACCTTTTCATGTTGATTATTATGATTTGAGTCTCTTTATGTTTCCATTGGAAGATGATAAATGAATGATGATTTCCTTTTGTCATCATCTTTATCATCTTCTATCGTTCTCTCTCATTTTTACTATCAATTACAATCCATGTTTCCTGTAAGTGGGAAGAGAGAGAGAGAGAGAAAGAGATTAAATCAAACTTTTTCTTTTTTCACCTTTTCTTCAATGAATGAAATAACTTCCTGAGAAGATGATGAATGAAATTACATATGAAATTCAATGAATGAATCAACAGATAAATGATAATGATGATGAAAAGTTTGGGTGATGAATAGATAGTAACATGAATGTTATCATATTTAATAGTAAATATTTGATTCCATTAGTTTCTACCTATTTGGTTATTTATTTATGTTTTTTCATCACCATGGATCCCATGATAACTGTCATGGAAATCATTTCATAACCATTTACACTTATCATCATCATCATCATCATCATCATTATCATCATGCATCAATTAACCTGTCATCTCTTCATCACCAGTCAGATTAATTAAACAATATATTTAATAGTTATAGTGTATTAATGATAATAAGTGTTGAAAGTTTCTCTCAATACATTTCATGTTATCGTCATGAATTCAGCTCAGAATTCAATCAAACGAGAAATGTTAACAATCAATTTAATTCTTGTTCTAATTTAATTACATCAAATTGCTATCGATTGATAGTAATACATATATAACAAAGACTTTCACATGAGTAATAATCGATGATCAAGATGAACCTCGAACTTGAAATTATTCAAATTTGAAAATAATTCAGTTCATTTGGTGATTATCCTGATTTTTGGGAGAATTTAAAAAAAAGTAAATGATGAATTTATCATCATAAATTATTCACGTTTGTTTAGCATCTTTTAAGTGAATTACCTAAACAAAAATTATCTAGAGCAAAGTGAATATCATAATAATATATTTAGCTGTTTGTTGTTGTTGGGTAAGAGGATGAATTAGATGATGATGATGACGATGACGATGAAAGAGTCGAGTGAGTCTGTTTTAACAATGATGATAATATTGAGATGACAGTGAGTGATGATCGATTGACAAAAAAGTTTCGACTCCAAACTGTTTAATGTATTTTTTTTACTTCGAGTGAAGGATAAGTTTATATATATCAAGATCCATATACACTGAATAGTAAACAGGATTGAATTGTATTATCACATTAGTATAAACTCACTCACTCACTCACACTCACTTATTCACTCACTGCAAATGTAAAACTGCAAATACAAATGCAAATTATAAAGCCAACAATCAACCAACCAAACTGGAAAAATAATAAAAATAATATGATAATCAACATAAAAATGAATATAATGAATATTATGAAAAAATAAAGTTCTCAATGAAAGTGTAACTTTAATTATCTTGATAATATTCATGATTTAAAAATCAATACTAATCACCAATTGATATCTAATATTTTTTTTCTTGTTAATTGTTAACAATTTAATATATAAGATGAAAACCTATTTTTATTATATTAATATTATCATTTAACTCTATATGAAATATATTATGACAATTGTTGTTTCCAATTGTTTGTCAATCAAATCAATTGGTGAATTGTTATATAGGTTAACCAATATATGGATTATTATTATTATTTGATTGTCACAATCAATATATTGTTATCATCATGAAATGTTGTGTTTCTTTGTGAGAAGATGCAATCAATATATTGGTAAACTGTTCACATTGGATAATAATATTGATCAAAGTAACGGTTTACTTTACTTTGTTCAATGGAAACTTTTACAATCTAAGTTTTTGTTTTTCTCAACATTTTTTTATCATCATGTTCATGATGTTGATGAAGATAATCATGGTAATGGCTCATGAGAATTCTTGACAAGATTTTCTCTCTCTTTTACTTTTCTCTTCTATCTCTTATATGTTATTATCATAGAGAAAGAAAGAGGATAATGTTTAGCATTTTTCTATCTTTTTTTTCTCGATGACAATTTTTTTCGCCTTCTTCTCATCTCTCTCTCTCTCTCTCTCTCTCTCTCTCTCTCTCTCTCTCTCTCTCTCTCTCTCTCTCTTTTTTATCATCATCATCATTCTTCCAATTATGTTGAAAGGTTTTTCTGTTGATCTACATCATCATCATGAACATTATCTCATCATGATTAGAGTCTTGTCTTGTTAGTTAGCATCCATTGACTTAGATTGTTACTCACTGCTAATTATCATCTTCTTCCTCTTCATCCTCCTCCTCCGCCTACTCTTGTTGTTCATTTTCCTCCTCTTCCTTTATTTCTTATCTCCATCTTCTAATTTTTTTTTCTCTCTTTCTTTTCTTTTCCGCCTGATTAGATAATAATAATAATAACAACAACAATAATAATAATAAAACAAACGACTATGGTTACAATGGCTCATCTCCGGGCTCAGTGGGCAATGGTTCAATCACCGGTTTACTTGGTTCCTCTCCGGGCCTTGGTGTTGGTAATGGTTTAGATGTTAACGGAGTGGATGGAGGGCGAACTGGACGTGGTTCCAATGGTATTGTAGGTGGGGGTAATAGTCTTGGTTCCAATGGTAGTAATAGTAGCAGTGGAAGCTCTGGTAGCGTTGGTGGTGGTGGTGGAGGAGGAGGAGGTTTGGGTAGTAGTGCATGTGATGTCCTAAACTCTTCGGGTGGCCCAGGATCAGCTGGATCGGCAAGTAATACTGGACGAACCAATTTTACGACAAAACAATTAACCGAATTAGAGAAAGAGTTTCATTATAATAAATATTTAACTCGTGCTCGTCGTATTGAAATAGCCCAAGCTCTTGGTCTTAATGAGACTCAGGTAAAAATTTGGTTCCAAAATAGACGAATGAAACAAAAGAAGCGACAAAAAGAGGGACTTATATCAGCTGATACATCGACACCACCACCATCATCGGGAGTATCAACGGCTAATGGAAACGGTAATAATACTAATGATGATAATACTTACATTTAAAAAGCATTTGAAAAGAAAATGTCAATTCTGTTAAAATGAAATTGAATCAAAAATCAAAGTCAAAAAGTTTTTAATCTCAATTATATCAAAAGAAAAAGACAAACAACATCAACATACTCTTTTCACCCACCCAATCCCACTCATCTCCATGATAAACTGACCCTTGCTGGTCAGTGGAAATGGGAAAAGAGAGGAAGAGGAAACTTAATTCAGAAAGAAAGAGAGAAAGAGATAGAAAGAGTTGAATAGAGATCGATTTATGTTTCTTCATCTTGCTCCTCTCTTTCTCACTCACTCCTCACTCTCTCTTTCTTTCTCATCCTCTGTGATTAATTGTAATATGATCATCTCACTAAATAACTGATGATCATGATGATTTTTATATGAATCATAAATATATATTATATATTTATTATCCAGGTCAACTTAATGGTCACTTTTAACCTTTACCGATGTTACTTCAAGCCTTTCATAAACATCTAACTCATCAACATCTTCATTAACAGGATTATCACTATCATCACCATCACCATCACCATTGTCATCATCAACACCACCAAATTATCACTATCATCATCATCATCACTATCATCGATACTTTCACCATCAATATCAACAGCGACACATGATAATCAATGATTTCAACATGACTGACATACAATAAATCCCTCAAAAGAGATGACTAAATGATTGGATTATCTCACCCTGACCTACCATCATCCACTCAACAACAACAACTGGAATACACCTAAATTGCCATTGACCCACCCAAACAACTCACACACACACACAAACACAAAACTATTCAAAGAAGCAAAAAATCACCAAGAATCACAATTAAAGTAAATGATTGGTGTTAAAACCTAAATTCATCACCAAAAGGACAAACAAGCAACAAAAATAAAAGGAAACGGAAACGATGAGTATGATAACCCTTAGGAGGATGATTATGATTATGATTATGATTATGATGATGAAGATGAAGATGATGAATACGAATGATGCACATTATCCTCTCTCTCTCTCTCTCCTCCCCCTTCCTCTCCTACCTGGTGGGCTAATTATCATCACAATTTGGATTGTTATCTATTCTATTCTTATTCTAATTCTATACATACTGATAAATATACAACAAAATGCTATATATAAATATATATATATTAATATTGTAATAATAATACGCAAAGGTGACCACAAGAATCACAATGAAGAAAAAAAAAAAAAGTTCGAAAAAAAAATCAATCAATTTTGTGTCATCATTTAATCAATCATCTTTCATCCTTGTCATTAATCCTCATTAATTAACATGAGTAATTATTGAAACAATTAATTGACTAATTTGAGTTAATTTGAGTATCTTCACCAAAAAAATGATTCATTTAATTTGCTCAGATTATTGTTTGTAATTATCTAATTAGATAGTTAATTAACCATTGGTTAATTGTTTTATTACATGAATTGTTTTAATCTCTCGTGTTATTGGTTCAATTGATTAAATTGTCAGAATTTTTATTCATCTTATTTTGAGATCAGTAGATTAACGGGATAATCTCAATGTGGATTAAAGACCCAGAGATTAAGAGAAATTAAAAAGGGGGAAGAGATTAAAACTCTGGTTCAATTTTTTTTTGTTCTTTTCTAAACTTTGTTTATCTCTCTCTCTCTCTCAAAATTAAGATGAGGATGGAGATAAGGATGAGGATGATAAAGAGATTGCGCAAGTAACATGCGCTTTTGTCTTTTTCTAGGTTCAATCTTTATCTTCATCATCATAATATGATTTCTCTTCATAAGAGACTCTCCTCTCTCTTTCATATTTGAGTTTTGTTTCTTTTTTTCATTAGGATAAAGGAAGAGATGAAGATAAAAGAAAGATGATGATAGAAAGAAAGAGAAATAAGAAAGGAAGATCATTAATCAATGTCAAAAAATGTCTCTTCATTTGAGCTCTTTCTTTTTCTCCTGCCTTTTGATTCGAGAGGAAAAAAAGGTTTCCTCTCTTTCTCTCTTTCTTTTCATCCTCATCCTCTTTCTCTTGCTGCTCTTGGAATAAAAAAAATGCCTTCGAGCGAAATATAAATGTTATATCAAGACAAAGATGATGGAAAAGAATGAAGAGAGAGAGAGAGAGAGAGAGAGAGAGAGAGAGAGAATGCAAAAGATTATGAAGATGATATAAAGAAGAAGAAGTCAAAGATTATCGTTCTCTTACCTTAAGTCAAAATTATCTTCACCTTTTATCTTCCTTATCTTCATCATCATCATCATCATGATCGTCACAATTACTTAGGATGTGATACAGACAAAAAGTCCTCATTGTTATAATATCACAGGTTTGACAGGTAAAACTTGACTTTCGTCAACACCTAATATATTTATTGAGATTCAACCAAATGAAATGTCATTATTATCATCTTTGTCTCTCTCATTACCATAATAATCATAATAATGGACATCACTTTGTCTCTTTCTCTTGATATCTTCTTCATCCTTTTCCTCATCCTAGTCATCTCCTCAGTAGCCTCATCTCTTGACACTCACAAATAGACATGAATTTGCATGAGGATGAAAAAAAGTTTCTTGGAAGAAGCAAAAAAAGCAACTCAGTCTGTTACCATTATCACTGCTATTATTGTTATCATCATCAACGTCGTCATTGCAAAGGTGGCTTTGATACAAAAAATCAACATGAAGATGCAAAAGATGATGATGATAAAGAGAGAGAGAGAGAGAGAGAGAGCAAAGAGAATGAAAAAAAGACGAAGAAAGAAAATGAAGAGACATTTTGTGACATTGATGCATGAGTCTTGCAAGAGAGATTATGATGATGATGAAAGGGAGAGAGAAGATGTAGCAAAAAGTATAAGAAAATAATATGTATAAGCATGAGAAGATGATGAAGAGAGAGAGAGAGAAAAGAGCCTCCCTTGGGTTGCTGTAATTTTGTAACAAGTTTTCTTACTCTGAAGCCCAAAAATAATCTTCTCTCTGTTTCTCTTGTCTTCTTCATCATCATAATATAAAAAGAGGGGCTTATCCAATGGGCTTCAAGAACGAAGGCCAGACCCACGCGAATCCCAATGTTAATTTTACATAGAAATTATTTCTCGCCGATTCCAAGGCTTCATCCACATCGAAACTGATGGTTTGTATTATTTATAATCGAGAATTAAAATTAGCTCGTATGTTGATATTTCTGTTGTGATAAATTAACTAAATGTTATATTGTATTCAACTTATCAATTGACTTCTTTCTTCATTATCATCATAATCATCTCTCTCTCTCTCTCTCTCTCTCTCTCTCTCTCTCTCTCTCTCTCTCTCTCTCTCTCTCTCTATTTATTTTTCTTTCTTTCTCTGACCCTCAATTCTGGTTTTGCATTTCTATTATTATGTATGTACGAATGCCCATGGAAGAGATAAGAGGAAGATATATTTCTCTTCTTCATCTCATCTTCTTCATTAATTCTACCTTATCTTTCTCGCTTCTTCTTCGTCTTCCCAGAAAATTATTAACGTTGAATGTACTCACAACACATAGAAAAGAAAAACCTTGAATTCTATTCTCTTTAATTGCTAATTATTAATCTAGAACATTTCTTATTCCTCATCTTATCATAATCATCATCATCTAATGAGCGTACAACCTTTGAATCTTCAGAATGATTATGAATGTATTTTTAACTTCTACTGAACAGAATCTCTCTCAAGAAAGTGGTCATAACAAACGATCAAATCACTAAATCGAAATACTAAAGAAATAAAAAGTTTCTTCTGTTAATCTGATACCTTGATCATCATTATCACCATACCGTTAGATTATGATGATGATAAAATAATGGTGATGATGATTAGTAAACAAACAAATTGTAACTTGAACCATTTTCATCAATAGTAAACAAATCTAAGTGATATGATAAAACTGAGCAAGAGGAAAAAAAAGATGAATGAAAAATGAACAAGAATCAGATGAAAATCAGCTGATCGACAGAGAGATTATGTAACTGACCATAACCTGATGACCACATCTTCCATCATCCTTGTTGGTGGATGGGATTAGGACACTAAAAAAAAAGAAACTGAAATCAGAATAAAGTAAAATAATCTGACCTGATCTCTAATGGATCAAGGTAATAATATAAATACAAAAGGAGAAAAGGTAAACATTGAAGATGGAGGTTGATTGTTAAGGTGGTTTAATGGTCGTTAACTGTTGATATTGATGAAAATGATGATAGATCCATTAAAATCTCATTGCCTCACAAGGGAAATTATTTATCTTCCTCTCTCACTCTTCATCTTTGGTGTTCAAAGTCAATATTTTCATTCATTCATCCAATTCATTCAATGGTTTCATGTTAAATCTTATCATCATCATCATCATTAATAATATTTTTTTCATCCTATTATTACATATGATTAACATTTAATTGTATTTTGTCAACCATATTGTATATTATCATCATTTATCATCATTCCCCAACCTGATGAACCATTGTTATCATTTATTATATGAGGTTATCATTTATATTATCAGAGGATAATCAATGTTATGAGATTTGTTATTGACTTGATTTAAAACTGATTATCATCTCAGTTTTATTGTCATTTGAAAGGTAACAAGGAAAATTAATCAAATCCCTAATTGAATTGACTAATAATCAATGATTATCTAACTAAATTAATCTTGTTGTAAATGATACAACAGTTAATCAACCACAAATTGGAAATGAAATAAGTTTAATCCTCTAGATAATTAAACCAAGAAAAAAACTAACACACAATCAGATGAGATTGATGATAATAATAGAAATGATTTACTAATCAGATTCTGGTGCAGGGAAAATTACAATCAAATGATGAATATTTGATAATCATTAGGTAAGATTTTGCTGATCTGATGCTGGATTTATCATCATTATCTTCATTGAACATCATCTTTAACATACTTGGAGGGTTTCATTGTAAGTGGATAAAAACAACAACAACAAAAAATGGTTAAGATGATAATCAATGTTGATGATGAGGATGAGGATGATAATCAAGAATTGTATCTATAGGGAATTGAAGAGGAAAAAAAAGAGATGTAATTAACTTGGTGAAAAAAAGGGTGGACCGAAAAAGGGGAGTTATTAAAAGAAAGAGAAAAAGAAAGACTAAGAAAAAGACCGTGTGAAGATAAAGATGATGATGGAGAGAGAGAGAAATGATTGTAATAGAAGGTAATATTGAGATAGAGAGAGAGAGAAGATGAAAAGGAAGGAGGGTGGGGTGGGGAGAGATAATCATGTATAGTGTGTGTATGAAAAAAGGGAAATATGTATGAAAGGTTAGGATTCTTTGAGAGATGAACAAGTTTGAGTAAGATTGATTTGATTTCTTCCAATTGACGAAAAGAAAAAGCAAAGTAAAACTGGACCAAAACCCTGAAGATGAGGATGAGGATGAAGAAAAAAGAGCCTTTTGCTTCTTCCTTTCAACCTAACCCAGGTTTCTCTTCATAATCATCATCATCCTTATCATCATTTTCTTCATATTCTACTGCTTCTTTTTCCCTCCTTTCCCTTTTTTCATCTTCTTTTCCTTCTGCCTTTTTATATATGAATTTTTGTTTGGTTCTTGTGCTTTTTGCATTTTAGACTCTACCCTCTTCCCTCCGTGCAAATATATACTTAGAGAGAGAGAGAGAGAGAGAGAGAGAGAGAGAGAGAGAGAGATAAACATATTGGATGCTAAAGAGATGGAAGAAAAAATATTAACATTGTCCAATATAATGGAGATGGTCAAGGCTTTTATACTTTTCCACAATCTATTCAATCAATTTTGTCTCAATATCTTGTTTACTATTGCTTTTTATCATCATCTCTCTCCCATCTTCATCTTTACTCTCTCTCTCTCTCTCCTTCATCTTCATCTTTATCTCACCTCTTCTCTGGTTTCATCTTCTTCCGCTTTTTACCATCTCCATCATCATTCTTATTCATGATTTACTCAACCATTTAACCCATCAACAGCTTCATTATCACTTCCATCACCAATATTATCACAATTTTCACTTTGATTATGAAAAAAGCTCATCATCATTATCCCATAATCCTAATCCTAATAATTGATAATCTACATCCTGATAATGATAAAGAATAATTTTCATTAAAAACTAATATTCTAATCCTTTTGTCATTTATCTTGTCAAGTTGAGTAAATTAAAGAGGAACATCCAAAATGATATAATTATTATCATG